TGATCTGAAACGTCTTTTTATATTTCATAAAATTTTACATATTTTAAAGGTAATATATAATGTAACCTCCAAAATAAGTAAAATTGATATGCCTGTAATTTGACCTGGTCAAGGTAATTAACTAGTGTATGCTTTACTTACACATTGGATATACTGATTGTTGGCTCAGTAACGTTATATAATATCCTGGATGTTGTTACCTAGACATCTTTACGAATGCTGGGATTATTCATGTACATCGACCATGGGCATTTATCAATAGCGTGAGAAATATTACATGATAAGAAATATCTTTTGAATTGCAGGTTCCTACCCCATACACTTCCACATGTGTGACGACGTCAACGGCACCTGGGTCCGCAGCAACTCCATCCACCACAGCCTGGCCAGATGTGTCACCATCCACGGCACCGACGGACTCGAGGTACTCTTCCTAGTTATCTGTCTCAATACATCATTTCTGTCCACCAAGTCATCAATTTGTATCACACACTTATTACATTATGAAATCTGCATCACAAACTGCCTTTTAACATGAACACTAGGGCCTCCATTCTATTGCCGTCAGTTAGATTTCGTTGATAATGATTGCTTCTGTTGAAGGTCGCGAAAGTATATTCTCCAAGGTATTTACCGGAAGGTTGACAGCATTGCCACACAGTCAGTAAATAATGATTATAGATTATGTATATACTGGTTGTTTGACTATTGCCTAATATGTGGATGTTTCTTTGACTGTTCCCACGTATGGTTCAACTATTCTGTCGTCATCACACAGGTGAGCGACAACGCCTGTTACGACCATCTTGGCCACGGCTACTTCCTGGAGGACAGTGTGGAGCAATACAATATTCTGGACGGGAATATCGGAATCGGAACGAAACACGGCACACACATAATGACGGACATGAAAAACAACTGGTGCGACAAAACCCTAGCCTGGAGTTGCAAGTACGTCATGTGCAGTTACTCGTATTCGACAGTTAATATACTGCTATTGTACAATAATAAAATAACAGGAAACAAAAATGATCAGAAACGCATCGGAGCCGGTAGAAATCATTTGGCCATGATTAGGCCTGTAACTGTAAAGAGGCCATGTGCAACCACAATTTGTACAACCAACATACAGAACTTGTACAGCCAACATACAGAACTTGTACAACCAACACACAGAACTTGTACAACCAACATACAGAACTTGTACAACCAATACACAGAACTTGTACAACCAACATACAGAACTTGTACACACAACATACAGACCTTTTACAACCAACATACAGAACTTGTACAACCAACATACAGAACTTGTACAACCAACATACAGAACGTGTACAGCCAACACAAAGAACTTGTTCAACCACCATACAGAACTTGTACAACCAACATACAGAACGTGTACAACCAACATACAGAACTTGTACACACAACATACAGAACTTGTACACACAACATACAGACCTTTTACAACCAACATACAGAACTTGTACAACCAACATACAGAACGTGTACAACCAACACAAAGAACTTGTACAACCAACATACAGACCTTGTACACACAACATACAGAACGTGTACAACCAACACAAAGAACTTGTACAACCAACACAAAGAACTTGTACAACCAACATACAGAATGTGTACACACAACATACATACCTTTTACAACCAACATACAGAACTTGTACAACCAACATACAGACCTTGTACAACCAACATACAGAACGTGTACAACCAACAACAGACCATGGGCAACCAACATTCAGAACATGGGCAACCAACATTCAGAACATGGGCAACCAACATAGAGAACATGGGCAACCAACATAGAGAACATGGGCAACCAACATACAGAACATGGGCAACCAACATTCAGAACATGGGCAACCAACATTCAGAACATTGGCAACCAACATTCAGAACATGGGCAACCAACATTCAGAACATGGGCAACCAACATTCAGAACAAGTCCAACCAACATTCAGGACATGGGCAACTAACATTCAGAACATGGGCAACCAACATTCAGAACAAGTCCAACCAACATTCAGGACATGGGCAACTAACATACAGAACATAGGCAACCAACATTCAGAACATGGGCAACCAACAGTCAGAACATGGGCAACCAACATTCAGAACTTGTACAACCAACATAGAGAACAGTTAGAACCAACATTCAGAACATGGGCAACCAACATACAGAACATAGGCAACCAACATACAGAACAAGTCAACCCAACTTTCAGAACAAGTCCAACCAACATTCAGGACATGGGCAACCAACATTCAGAACATGTACAACCAACATACAGAACAAGTCCAACCAACATTCAGGACATGGGCAACTAACATACAGACAGTTAGAACCAACATTCAGAACATGGGCAATCAACATACAGAACATAGGCAACCAACATTCAGAACATGGGCAATCAACATTCAGAACATGGACAACTTACATTCAGAACATGGAGAAACTGAAGACACAATATGTCAATGGAATTTGTTATGGTAATTCAGCGCAAAGAGGGAATATATGACTGATAGATTAAGTTACTACTCTACAAGTATGTGATAAATATCAATGATGTGTCAAATATCGATACGGTATGGTCGAAGCTAGATAAACGTTTGTTATTACTGCGATGTGTGGCTGACGGTGAATAGTCTAGCTCGAGGACATTAACACTGAGACTGTTCCAGTTCCCTGGCCACCTTCTGGATCACCCACTTCAACAACTACATCAGGAACAACGTGGCCGCCGGCTCGGACGTAAGTAACACGTCATGTCTTCCTCTTGTCAATGAGAAGGAAGAATACAAAAAGGTCATAGAGAATCGTGCTGACGACCAAGGAACCAAGTCTGGGATACGAACTTCACATTCTTAGATTACTAACATATAAGGCCATACGTTCCAGAAGATAAGACCTCAACAGTCAGGTTTGAAGAGCTGACACTATTTAACAAGTTCGTTTGTGTTATTTTAAGATGAGGGGTGTTTTCTATTGGTATCACAAACATATAAGGTATATCACGAACCCTCTATGACAACAATCATTACACCACACAATGCAAAGGACATTATCCACTATTTTTAAGTGTGAAGTTTACACGATATACAGCTTTCCCATTGGTTGAGAGGTCGGTCACATGACCGCGAAACATTCATATAAACGTATGAACGAAACATGTTGACGAGCATACGGTTTTCACGAGACTCTATTCTTGAAGTGACGTAAACACTGATGGACAACTTCCACATTCCCGGTGAGTCCCCCTGGGAATTCCCTAGCACGAATAACTATAGGATGGTAACTGATCATTGAGACCCATTAATCTTGAACTTAGAGTTTTAGGGGTAAGTCAGAGAGTTTGACTCAGGCTGCATACCCATTCCTGACCACGTCGCTACGACCCATCCCAGTGAACAAAACTAAGAAATGCACATCCAAACTATCGACTTGACAGTGACAGTCGACCGCAATCTATGAATTTACCTTAGTATCTATTTGACACATCTTTATAATCACCATTCAAAGATCGGACAATTGATCAATGATGACTAACACTTGTAATCGCCTCAGGTTCTCGGAAATCCCGCCCGTCACGTCTATTTTGTCTGCCACTTTGACGCCATGTACTTGATGCAAATGTATTACAACGCGCTATCTCTGCGACTGACTTACTAAGATACCTTTCCCATCTAGTGATGATGTTATTTCGTAACAAGACAACAAAAATGTTACTATCGAGAAACTTCAGCATACATACGCTCTACCTCTCCTTTTGAGAAACTATTTTATTCTGCCTTACAACTTGTTGTGTGGTTGTCAGTGTTGACATGAAGTCACACGTACTAAATGAATGTCTGTATACATCCTTCGAAGTATAAAATAGCGACGTTAATTCACTTGGCCTCACTCTATGAAGGTTCATAGTCCAATGTCCATACGATTTTCGCCCCTAATGACAAATGAGATATCATCTCATTTAACAGGAGGAGAAGTATGACATCGTTAATGTAATCTTTTCCCCTAGAACGCTGGATTCTGGCTCAACTACGCCGACAGCCCCCTCGGACCATCAGCTGCCCGTCAAGCGGAGAAACTGGCCAACAACCAATCAGCTGTCACAGAGTTCAGTACCAGACACACACCCATCCTGGAGTTCGACAACAACGTGGCTCACTCCAATCATGAGGTGAGACAATCAAACTCTACACGTCTCGAGCCGTGGTACAGGCAATTCTTACTTTGCAGTTGATCCGCGAACAAACATATAACAAAGTTGTTATCTGCCTTCATAAGGTTATACATGTCTGGTTGAAGATATATATTTGTAGATGTCTTAGTGAAAAACGTCATGTTGCGACGAATGGGCTTTGTTTAGTCGACGGATACGTGTCGGGAATGCATCAGTGATGCAGTGTTTATCAGCCTTTATTCTCAGAAAGAATAAATTGATATATAACTAAACCCAATCGGAACAAAGCATCTCAGCGCTTTGACTGTTGTAAGCCTACGTAAAATTGGTGTTCCAATAGCCGTACTGCAACGATTGCTTTGTGCAAGTGGCCATGGCCTCTTGTTCCAGGATCATAACTGGGCTGTGTAATGATGACCAATATTTCCAATGCCTGCGAACAAGACAAACCGTACTTAATACTGTTGTCATTTCCAGAGAGGTCTGATGTTTGATAACAGAATCTCAAACGGCCAAATGCACCATAGCACGTTCATCCCGGAGAACGCGAGGTTCGGATCCAGCGAATACGACCCCAGAGAACCAAACACCCCAGAGGGAGAACCAGTCACCACCTCCATCAAGAGGTACCAGATATTTATCATACGCTGTTCAAAGATTCGGTAGACTTATTCACCTTTTAATTACACGTTCTGCAAGACGCAATATAAGTTAACCAATACACTGTTATTTAATTGCATTTATTTAAGAAATGATATGACACTTTATCAGGAAATGAATCATGCAAATGAAAACAACACGTTGTTTATTATAATGCCAACTGTAAGCCAACTTTTAGTGCACGTCGCCTTCATATGGCTGGAATATTACTCAAGGCGGCGTTAATCCTCATTATCATCCAAAACTGGCTCCCACAGGAGATATCGCTTGGATGAGATCAAGCGATATCTACACTGTAGATATGGCTGCAATGACATTACATCACAATGCTTTGCAGACCATTGTGATGTCACTGGTAACATGACGTCACAATCAAATGACATCACTAATGGCTCTGCTACTGGAGCTGTTTGCAGTACTTTTTACACTGAAGACACTGTTAATTAATGTCTACAAATTGAAAAAGTTGAAAGAATGATGTTGGATGATAAATAAAATCTCACCCTCGTGTCTTTTGATATCAAATATATCAACACTCGTTGATAAAAGTGGGAAAAATCCTCGGCAAGCCTCGGAATTTTTCCACTTTTATCAACTCGTGTCGGTATATTTGATGTCAAAAGACACTCGGGTGAGATTCTCTCTTTCACCAACATTATTTTGGTGCATAGAAAACTGGCTTGTATTTTACCCTGCTTCCATCTGTCCGACAGACTTACCGTGTTCAAGAACCGTAAGGAGAATATATGGCTGAGGGCTGCCAACACCATTCTGGTCAACTGCAGGTGAGACTCTCTGCCTTGGGCAATACTCTGGTGCAACATATAATGGTCAAGGACGGGTATATGTTTGGGTGGACTGTAAAACAGCCTATACGACTGAAGAGGCCTGTCTTGGGGCCATTCTAATGCAGCATATGCTGGTTGCCAGATCTCTTATTCGGCCGAGACTGGTCAAAAGGGTATGTAAATATGTGTAAATATTTGTTTTGAAGTGTCCTGTATACTGTGTCGTATTCCAGCATTGCTGACTCACAGCGTGGCCTCGTCATGCCGCTGTCGAAGAGTAACCGCTTCAATGAAGTCAGGAATTCGGTGTTTATTGGGATGTCGGACAACATGGGTGTCGGCAGGACTTACACCATCGGCGGCTTTACCGGACCAGTGAAACCAATCCACAAGTTCAGTAGATCATTTCTGGGCTGGAGACCGTGAGTAAATATCCGTTATTCATACAAAAGAAGCTGTTACACATTGTTCCCGCCACCTGTGTTGGTAATATGTTAAAGAGCGGCTATTACCTGGGTGATAGGGTCCATAGGAAACTAAATCTGGAAGCCACTGTGTTATTACCCAAAGATGTGAAGCAATGCTTTTGAGATCGGACAGAGGGCAACTGTGTCTCACGACATCAACCTCTGTAAAACATCACGATCAGCGTGACTGTGTCCTTTTGAATTGTTCTAACATGTAAAGATATTGTGATATTAATGTTTATTTTCTCCAGAACTGATCCTCTGCAAGGGTTCGTCTTCTACAACGGTCCGAACTACGTCACCGACTGCTACTTCAACGACTTCTACCACTGGCACTGGAACTCCACGTGGGACAGCGTCTTCAACGTCCCTGGGTATCGAACTGGTGGCGCTCTTGGCTTCAAGAGAACCAACATGCTCGTCTTCAGCCCAAGAAGCACTGTGTCCGGTCTTAAGTTTGGATTCTGTGACAAGGTAGGTTAGTCTCTTGACACACGTACAGTGCCCCATGTCCTACATTACACAACCCCAACTTGTAGTCGGGTCTTGCCCCGGTATCCTCACAAACACGGATCGGGGTCAATGAATGTGTGTATTCATTCTGTAGATTTTACACATGTAAATACATCGCTTTCTAATACCATTAGTACATTCAAAATAACCATAAAACTATGTATATTCATGTGGCCGTGAACCAAAATATCTTCTGTACTACATTTAACAGTCATACTTGAGAGTATGTAAAGGACACAACTTAGCTGAAACTAAATGTGTTGACTTTAATTACATTTTAGTTTCAAATATTATATACAAATCTTTTCTTGTCTTATAGTTATCATTGCGTCTTGTAATCTAACTGTACCAACCGACAAGAGGAACATTGTCGAATATGCCATATACATTTTGTCTATTTTTCATGCAAACCTTCTCTTCCCAACAGTCTGAGGGAAACACAGTATTCGACGGCAACAACACCACACCAGGATTTGAAGACGACGCCGAAGGGAAAGAACAAGCGTCGTTACACGACGTTGACGGTAGCGTGACGGGCATGATCAACTCGCAGGTCGTCAAGAACAACCCGTTCTTTACCACACCCAAGTGTTCTGTGAGGGACAACTGGGGCATGGCCGTATGTCCTTACAAATACGTGAAGGTGAGCAGTCGCAGTGTTTTAACTGAGGATATGAAATTCACAAAGCCATTAGAGTAAAGCAGTAAAGATTATAAGGCCATATGCACCATTTTTATTTCGAATAATTCAAACGCCATACCTGATGCAAATACTGCATAGAATGCACAATAAATCTATCAGATAGAATGTGTAGATGACTCCCTTTTCCACATAATGGCCGTACTCCATTGAATCTTGGTTGAATCTATCGACATAACTGGCGTAAATGGAAGTAGTTATTCCCCCTTTCGAATGTGTTTCCTTATTACTAACTTGGGGGCACGGGTGGCCCAGTCGTCTAGGGCGCCGCAATTCGCTGTGCAGAGTTGCGTCCCTTGTGCACGCCAGAAACCTATGATTGTTGGTTTGAATACCGGTTCGCCCCGATGATGTTTCTAGGTTTGTCAGCACCATACCCGTGCTCGTGGCTTTCACCGAAGTGGTAAACGTCTGAGACCTGCATCACTTCGGGCTTTCCTCCCACATTGAGCTGACACGCCGCGATATAACTGGAATACTTTTAGAAGCGGCGTTAAACCCAACTCACTCACGCACTGTTACTGACTTGTTTAGGAAACCAAGACATGTGTGTTACTAAGTTAAATCTTCAATGAGATTCCCCAACACTTGCAACTGCGGATTGATATTGCCATGTTAAACCATTATTATGGCGTCAGGAACCAGGAATTCAGTGGTCATCCTGAACGTGCACGTTGTGCAGGTGATGTGACCCAACAATAGGCCATTATGCAAAATTATGGAGCAGTTACATATCAACCATAAAAATGTTGAAGTCGGAGGAATCACTCAGAAGGAACAGATTATCATGATTTCTCCATTTAAAGTCGAAGACAAACTACACTAATATACGCATTTCATATTAATACGTTCAGGATCACAACGGTGTCAGAGAGAGGCACGATGAGGTCAAAGATTACTCACACGATCTGTTACTTAAACTATGACGTATTTCTGTAAACATTAACCAGTTAATATGGGGAGGTGCCGATGGCCATAAAATGTACAAATCGATCGGTATTGATGCTGTGGTTCTGTCTTTCATTGAAGATTGACATTAGAAGCGATGTCTGGAAAATCCGCAACGATGAGCCTGTCACCTTCATCCGAGATGACGCCCATGAACACCCATTCGCAATGAACAGTGAGTTACCTTTCTTTAAGTAACACATAGGTGTAATTATGGTTTGTCGATACACATAGAAATATTAACATCACTCCCCTTTTTTATTTTTTCAGAAGATCAAGGCCGTAGATATCACTTCATGGTTAACAAGACCTACACAGTTCATTTCAACACCACAGTCCCTAAGCAGTTCATGATACAGGCATTCAACATGGAGAGGTGAGAAATAGTCGTTAAAAATGTAGCTGAGTGAATCTTGGACAAGTTATGCATCGTTTCCAGTACTGATCTCCAGTCAGCTCAGTGAACCCGCAACACTTAGTCATTTGTTTGTTAGCGTTATGACGCACAACAATTGTATATTACTATGAGAAAGTATGCCGTGACTTTCTAATTTGCACTTGGAGGACCCAAATAAAAAATACCCGAATATTCCACTTCTAGCAACATGTGAAGGGTAAATCGCTTCAGTTCTAGCTTTGATGGGAATGTCCTCACTATCTCATCGTCAGCGTGCAGATGATGCATGGAAGTCCATCGTGTTCATCGTGAGCTCTGCCACGTTGAATCCAGGCATTAGTTGTGTTAGTTGTTACTTTATTAATTGTTTGTTGCTGAACACCTCACCCTGCAGTATTCCAGCTATATGACGGCGGCCTGTAAATAATCAAATCTGGACAAAATATATGCTTGATATTTTAAGTAACGGTCCACGCCGACGTGGTACGATGACAATCACCCAAGCCTGATCAGCCAATCCATTTAGTCGCCTCTAACAACAAGCATGGGTTGCATGAACCAACGGAATCTCCACACTGTGATGAATCATATAACATGAGCAATCACATGAAATACGTTGAAATATGTAGTAACAGAACAAAAATGTGCAAACAATGTGTATAATATATCAAACCTGTTATATTACTGAATCAACTTTCTTCGTTTTTAGCGCAATTTATCAGAATTTGACTTTATAGCATAATTTAAACAATCCATAGATATCATTCCTAACTATTTGTATTTTCAGTGGTGATTCCATTCGTGTCGGCGTATGCATGCCTAAAGACATGACGACATTTGAGCTGTCCAGTTGGTACCCCTCCTACAATAAACGGAGGCCACCGCTAGAGGTCGCCACTATACAGGAACTGGATGCTGATACTTCCGGTAGGGCCTACTTCTGGGACAAACAAGTTGGGTATGTACCACAGTTTCACGAGTTGTCGATATCAGTGTCTTAATGTATATTGTTATTCTGTCGTGTATGTGGAAAAACCATTTGACCATATTGATGCATCTTTATTACAGCATGATCTTCGTCAAGCTGATGTCAAATGAGACTCGAACTGAGAGGCAGATGCTGTGTCCGAATGGAAAATGTCCAAACTTCAACATCGTGAGAAAAGACGGAAGCAACACTGCAGACTGTCGGCAAACAGCCTATGGTCCTTACATTAAAGAAGCAGAGGTACTGAACGTAGGCTGAAAAATACACAACCGAAACGTTTTTAGGGAACTACCATTTAACATTCAGGGCTAATATGTTTTTGAAAACTAAAGCCAGGCTTGTAACATGAAGTTGAGCAATATTAAGTTGTACCTTGTACATGACTGATGAGCCAATCTATCTTTGTCCAGGTATCCACTGGATATATTCCACCCTCTCCATGTGTCAAGGCATCATCCCAGGTGAGTACAACTATGGGTCATTGCTGCCAAAACCTTCTTTGAGGTAAAGAGCGGGACTTGTCATTATGTTTCAATGGTTTATTGGAGGTTTCCCCAACCCATGTGACAAAAGTTGTATAGATATTAAGGTGAGGTGAAATGGGGTTTAACGTCGCGCCCAAGATTATTGCACTCATATAGCGACGTGCATGCGTGCGTGCGAGCGTGACCAGTCTTGTTTTAGCCCATCAATACTGGGCGGCATCTTTTACCGTATTTTTGGTATGATGCGGCCGGGGATCGAACGACCGACGTTTCTCTCTGCGGTCGAACGTTCTGCCACTATACCACGGAGGCGACAGCAAGTTGTATACAGGAATGTGGTCACGCAGAGAGGAAGAAAGAGGAAAAAATTCAAACAAACCCACTTTGTCCCTGCAAAGACTTCTCTAGTCAAAGTCTGGCTGTCCTACATGAAAGTCCCCACTGACTCGACCTCGAATAACATAACCATTACATGTAAGCATCACTACACTAGTGTTTCATCAGAGTAACTCGGTACACGTGGCATATCAAATAATGCTACACAGAGGATGGCAACTGAGGAAGAATTCTGCAATCAGTGCAATCTCTCAAAAGTTCAATTCTGTCAAAACGGTTTGTTTGTTTTATTTTAACTTAGTACACCGCTATCCCACACGACAAACTTAATGGAAAACTTGAAATGACTTGAACCATAGGGCTTTTGTTACTAAACATGGTAGCCATAGATATCGTTACATCTCTATTTTCAGACGTTATGACAATTTGTCAGTAATGAAATCAAATGTCATCTGGAGTTTACCGAGAAACAATTTGTGAAATGCTGGACTTTCTCATTAACATCTATATTTGGGGATAATACATGTAGGCAAGAAGTAGGTACCCGCTAATTTCTAATCTGTTTCTTTAAACAAATGAATCGTAATTTTCTGTCCGGATTGGCAAAATCGAAACATTCAAATTTGGCCAAGAAGTTTAGCTTAGGCTTCATGTATATTGATGATACCCTGTCGTTCAATAGTGGTCAAATATCCAGTTCCATTCCACTTATGTATCCACCTGAACTAGCAATAAAAGACATCAGTCGTCCGTTTCATATGTAGATCTACGCATGACGACTCTGACTGACAACAAACTATCGATATGACTGTATGACAGGATTTCGACTTTTCAATAATCAACCTTACCTAGAAGTGCAGCTGCTCCAGTCTTCACAATGTTTGACCTACACTCGAGAAGACTTGTCCCTGTGAAGAATTACAAGAGCGTCATGCGACTCTTGCTCAAAAGCTACATCAGGCTTACAACACGCAAGTCCTTCCAAAAGCTTTCAAAATGTTTTATGGCAGACACGTGGAGGGCATTTCCACTTGACGCATTAGCGATCAAAACGATAGGTTCACTTGTTTTTGACTGGTAAACAATTGATTAGCCTTTTCGCGAACACCTGGTATCACCACTATTTGAGACTGATTGATAAACACATACGTATGATACAGTAGGACTCGTTCAATGGACTTTGAGTTCAGAAGATATTTCTTCTGCTTATGCAAAGGGTTTTGTATCGTTTATACATTATATATGTACATATTTCTAGGCAAACAGTTTATGTCAAAGTGGAGACTGTTTTGCGTTAGATTTGCTTTTACGTTGTGATTTTAATAGGGCTTCGGTGCAGGAGAGACCCGTCCGACCACAATCTTGACGAGTTCTACAAGCGAAGATCCCTATTGTCCACCTAAGGCAGAACCAGGTAGGTACATACGACCTTGATAGAATCATTGTGCACATTTCTTAATGAATAGGGCAAATTGTCTCGGTCACATGAGATGTGCATATAGTTGTTGGTCCTTTTACCCACGGGGACTTCTGGTCAGAAGAGGTTCGCAATACCCCACGTTTGTCCCAAGAGCCGACTAATGAGGTTACAATGTGTGATCTAAGTGAATGTATGCTATTTGTGCCCAAACCATGTGAGTGTCTGGTTGAGCTGTGAGACAATTTTACATTGCGTGGTCCCCGTGATGAATGGTTGTCAGTGTATCTTTTGCAGGTTACCGTAGACCCGACTGTTCTTCTCACCTCGCCGAATGTCTGGTCGAATGTATTCTAATGACCACAACACGACCATTTGTGTGTTTCAGAACCTGTACCGCTTCTGGGTCAGTCCCGGGGCTGCGCTGTTGACACATGGCGGCGGGACATGGGTGACATGACAATACGGCTCTACAGATCCATGACCAGGGGGTTCTGTGTCCAGAGATGCGGTCAGAACGGTTACAGATATGCTGGCCTACAAAACAGCAATGAGTGTTGGTGTAGTGACAGTTTTGGCCTCTACGGTTCTGGTGAGGGTTGTACCAAGGAGTGTAGCGCGAAAACAGGACGTTCCTGTGGGGGAGGCTGGAAGAATGAGGTGTTTACCACCAGTGCAGGTGAGTGTGTTGTGTTTGCACCAGATTGTGTTCATAAAAGCTCATCCACATATGATCATTCCAAATTTTAAAAGAAAAAAAATAATCTTAATTAAAGCTCGAAGTGATGCAGATCTTAATTACGTTTACCACTTCGGCGAAACTCGCGAGCACAGGTATGTTGCTGACAAACTTAAAAACATAATTGGGGCGATCCTTGATTCGGCACAGTGTTCTCGTGTGCCCAAGGGACGCAACTCTTGACAACCGTGACCCTCCTAACGAAAATGAAGACGTGTTTACTACAATATATATTATGAGTGATATAAGTATCAACATAACACAAAAAACACTTGTCACTGAGAATCTTAATAATCTCGTCCCCAGATCGCAGCACTACCTTAACGAGTTGCGGCCCGGGGTCACGTGGTGTAGTTATTGACGGAAGCTGTTACTATTTTGGAGATGACAGACTCAACTTTGTTGATGCTCAACGCGCATGCGTGAAGATGGGCGGTGACCTGGCAAGCATCTCCTCTGCAGCTGTGCAGGTATGAAACGTTTGGATGTACCCCATGGGTTTGTATTTCCTTTTTTTAATTATATCAAACTTGGAACAAATTATCCATTGTTTGTATCATGAGCACATCGTCGCTGCTTCTCACTGAACAGAAAGATTATTTTTTATGACTTGTCATTAGAATATGCAAACATTTTTCCTTCAGAGAGTTTACTGCAATTCTGAAAGATCGTGTTATGTATATTGAATAATGCAATACTTCTATTTCAAGTCTGAAATAAAAGCATACCTGGGTCAGAGTGAATCTAACATCTGGATTGGCCTGACGGATGTTGCTAAAGAAGGAGAATTTGTCTTCATGGATGGCACACCGGCTACATACATGAACGGGGACCTCAAGCACGACGCAGCTATACAATACGACGACTTTGTTGGTAAGAGTGAGTGAGTGAGTGTGGTTTCAAGCCGCTTTAGCATTATTCCAGCAATATCACGGCGGGGACACCACACATGGGCTTCACACATTGTATCCATGTGGGGAATCGAACCCCGGCGTGACGAGCCAACGCGGTCACCACCAGGCTACCCCACCGCCCCGTATTGGTTAAAACCTGTTGTTTAGCAATAAAATACCAGTATATGTGTCTTAGCGGTTAGTATTCCCTCAGAAATAAGATACTAGTATCAACAAACATCATTATTAATCAATGTGATGCAGTGTGGGATAATGTGCGTATAATGTGTTTCAGCCATAGACGTGTACCAAGGCTTAATCTGGGATTACCGGAGGTCGCACTACGAGTACCGCTACATCTGTCAGGTGCCTATCACCCCCAGCACCGTATTTGGTACGTGTGCATACAAGACACAGTTAAATATATGCAGCAAACATAGTATTAGATCCTCCCGAAAGGATATTTTGTATGTCATATCTTGTACGGTTCAAGTAGTTTAGTTAATTTGTCTGACCCTACATTTTAGTATGTAGTTAGCAATATAGATATTCGCAAATTGGATACGATGACATGCATCAACCAAGTCAGCAAGCCTGACCACCCGACCCCGTGAGTCGCCTTTTACGACAAGCGTAGTCGCCTTTCAAGGCAAGCATGGGCTGCTGAAGCCCGCCGTGGTGGATTGACTGTGTACTTTTTTCGGTTCATTGAGGTATGAATCGAAAAACCGATGTGCAAACTTCCGCTACGCCTTTAAATCAGTTGTTGATAGGAGCAAGACTTTAGCACCATGAATTCAGGATTCTGGGACGCATTAGGCATGCATCTGTACATTGCGGGGCCTTGGCTAACGGCGCAATAGGCATCAGAGAGGCAGTCGTTATCGACAAATGTGAGAGCCTTCAGTCATTTGAGCATAGTCTGAATTAGACAACGTCAGTTACTAAAATGACATAAATAGTCGTGTAAACTTCTAGGGTTACAAGTACATTTGTTCCCCATTAACCAGAGAGCTGTGGACCTAACGGTGCCGGACACAGACTGGGCAGTAACGGCAAGTGCTACCTCATCCTCAACACCAAAACTGACCACGACACAGCAGAGTACCAATGTTTAACTCGCCAGGGAGTGCTTCCGACGGTCACAGATGGCGGCACACAGGTTTGGAACAATATACAGGTTTTGTGTGTACGACCTTCAAATCATTCTTGCCTGATGATACAGTTGAAGTGAAAGAAGTATTTTACTGTTTCAACATTACTATAAACCATAGGCTAAGGAGTGCATGAGAATGTGACCGAGGAAAGAGGAGGAGGGTAGTTTTACAGACACCAGATATTGGCACCACCCACTACAATAGCATAAGGAGGCAGGTCCTAATCATTAGTATCTATTGGCGTTCCGTTGATTCTAACTGCTCTTTACAAAGTAGGTTAGTACGTGAATGTTCTTTAACGCCACAGTAAACAAAAACCGATCTTAATCGGACAAACCAGTAACTGAAATCATCGAGCCACGCCATCAGGTCAAGATGGCACACAGACAGCTACTGGGGCTGACCACCCAGTCCAATTAAATGGCCTAAGACGATCATGGGTGTAGTGCATGGCGTATAACAACCAGGGGTGCCAGAGGATTATGATTTTAAAACGCCAATTGAAGGCCTGTTTTGTCTTTCAGCGAGAAATCCGTAATCAGTTGCTGATTTTCGGCAGGGACATGGACTACTGGATCGGCGAGATGGTGATCAGCCAAACTGGAACAGCTATGGACACCCACTATAGTAGGAGCATTCATACACTGATGTACACGTGCATGTTAATAGACAAGTTAACAGCAGCATGTTAATAACAATATACAGACACCACATGAATTACTCCTGTAATAAACCTGTAAGGTCCAACTGCCGTGTAGAGTGACATGTTAACAAGTATTCTACACTTGTTTATTTGTTTGTTTGTTGTTTTACGCCTTTATCAGCAATATTTAGGTTATATCACAGCGACGTGTAAATATTCGGGATACGACACCCAATCAAAAAGGTCGACCATCCGACCTTATTCAGCCGTCTATTACAACAACCAGTAGAGTGGCGGGGACCTATGATCTATTCTGATGTGGGGCCTCTTGCACAAAGCGATCTTAGCGCCATGACGATCGTTACTCCCATACTTCATCGTGGACTTATGATATTCGTAGCGCTAAAATCGCTTTATGCAACATGACCCCGGGTCCTATAGTGTGTTGCTACTCTTATGAGCTGGAATCCATCAACCGAGGTTGGGTCAGGTCTCCCAGTTCCAGTATTCACGTACGTAGTGCAATGTTACTTTTGTTTGGTTTCGCCAGAGTTGACCTACGCTTCCTTGTTCAACAAAAACGCTGCCAGTCCAAGCGAGAAGAATGGCGTCCTGTGCCTTATAGGTAGGTTTACATCTCTACTTTTATTGATCCAGAAGCGGTTAGACAGCCGCCCAGCCAGTTCCCTGGGTGGATTACTTTCATACAAGTTATATACTGTTTGGCACGATGTACATGAATGAAAGGCGGTAATCAGTGATACACCGCTAAAGGTAAGGACACTTTGAAAAATACGTAAATTTGCGCAAATATTATTCATATTATTTCTTGTCAACTTTAACCATCGCTGTATTCATACATTAGAATTAATGACTTGATGTAACGGCGAATGGACTGTTTAAATGGTTATATCTTTATTTGTTCCAGAGGGATCCCCATCAACCAGTAACTGTCCACCAAGTAAGATAAACAGGTTTATGTCTGAATTTGAAGCGATGTTATACTCTCAATGTTTTGATTTAAAAAATCTGATTGATAATTCAGTCCGGTATCAAACTGTTCTAACCATTATTTTTGAACTGATTTTACACTTTGCTACAACTCAAGATGACTATATTGTTACACACCCAATTCACCCAGTACGATTCTGTAACCTGTATTCCCCAGCTTGGAAGGAACACAATGGCTCCTGCTACCTGTACACCGGCAAGACCGCGCCCAGCTACGACACCGTGGCCGCTCTGTGTAACCAGTAAGTCCTTCTGTAGTAGACAGTGTCCGTGGCCACTCTGTGTAACCAGTAAGTCCTTCTGTAGTAGACAGTGTCCGTGGCTAATCTATGTAACCAGTAAGTCCCCCTGTAGTAAACAGTGTCCGTGGCCACTCTGTGTAACCAGTAAGTCCTCCGGTAGTAGACATTGTCCGTGGCTAATCTGTGTAACCAGTAAGTCCTCCTGTAGTAAACAGTGTCCGTGGCTGCTCTGTGTAACCAGTAAGTCCTCCTGTAGTAGACAGTGTCCGTGGCTGCTCTGTGTAACCAGTAACTTCTACTGTAGTAAACAGTGTCCGTGGCTGCTCTGTGTAACCAGTAAGTCCCCCTGTAGTAAACAGTGTCCGTGGCCGCTCTGTGTAACCAGTAACTTCTACTGTAGTAAACAGTGACCGTGGCCGCTCTGTGTAACCAGTAAGTCCTCCTGTAGTAAACAGTGTCCGTGGCTGCTCTGTGTAACAAGTAAGTCCTCCTGTAGTAGACAGTGTCCGTGGCCGCTCTGTGTAACCAGTAACTTCTACTGTAGTAAACAGTGTCCGTGGCCGCTCTGTGTAACCAGTAAGTCCTCCTGTAGTAGACAGTGTCTGTGGCCGCTCTGTGTAACCAGTAACTTCTACTGTAGTAAACAGTGTCCGTGGCCGCTCTGTGTAACCAGTAAGTCCTCCTGTAGTAGACAGTGTCCGTGGCCGCTCTGTGTAACCAGTAAGTCCTCCTGTAGTAGACAGTGTCCGTGGCTGCTCTGTGTAACCAGTAACTTCTACTGTAGTAAACAGTGTCCGTGGCTGCTCTGTGTAACCAGTAAGTCCCCCTGTAGTAAACAGTGTCCGTGGCCGCTCTGTGTAACCAGTAACTTCTACTGTAGTAAACAGTGACCGTGGCCGCTCTGTGTAACCAGTAAGTCCTCCTGTAGTAAACAGTGTCCGTGGCTGCTCTGTGTAACAAGTAAGTCCTCCTGTAGTAGACAGTGTCCGTGGCCGCTCTGTGTAACCAGTAACTTCTACTGTAGTAAACAGTGTCCGTGGCCGCTCTGTGTAACCAGTAAGTCCTCCTGTAGTAGACAGTGTCTGTGGCCGCTCTGTGTAACCAGTAACTTCTACTGTAGTAAACAGTGTCTGTGGCCGCTCTGTGTAACCAGTAAGTCCTCCTGTAGTAGACAGTGTCCGTGGCCGCTCTGTGTAACCAGTAAGTCCTCCGGTAGTAGACAGTGTCCGTGGCTAATCTGTGTAACCAGTAAGTCCCCCTGTAGTAAACAGTGTCCGTGGCTGCTCTGTGTAACCAGTAAGTCCTCCGGTAGTAGACAGTGTCCGTGGCTAATCTGTGTAACCAGTAAGTCCTCCTGTAGTAAACAGTGTCCGTGGCTGCTCTGTGTAACAAGTAAGTCCTCCTGTAGTAGACAGTGTCCGTGGCCGCTCTGTGTAACCAGTAACTTCTACTGTAGTTAACAGTGTCCGTGGCCGCTCTGTGTAACCAGTAAGTCCTGATGTAGTAAACAATGTCCGTGGCTGCTCTGTGTAACCAGTAAGTCCTCCTGTAGTAAACAGTGTCCGTGGCTGCTCTGTGTAACCAGTAAGTCCTCCGGTAGTAGACAGTGTCCGTGGCCACTCTGTGTAACCAGTAAGTCCTCCTGTAGTAGACAGTGTCCGTGGCTGCTCTGTGTAACCAGTAACTTCTACTGTAGTAAACAGTGTCCGTGGCCGCTCTGTGTAACCAGTAAGTCCTCCTGTAGTTAACAGTGTCCGTGGCCGCTCTGTGTAACCAGTAAGTCCTGATGTAGTAAACAATGTCCGTGGCTGCTCTGTGTAACCAGTAAGTCCTCCTGTAGTAAACAGTGTCCGTGGCTGCTCTGTGTAACCAGTAAGTCCTCCGGTAGTAGACAGTGTCCGTGGCCACTCTGTGTAACCAGTAAGTCCTTCTGTAGTAGACAGTGTCCGTGGCTAATCTATGTAACCAGTAAGTCCTCCTGTAGTAGACAGTGTCCCCGGCTGCTCTGTGTAACCAGTAAGTCCTCCTGTAGTAGACAGTGTCCGTGGCCGCTCTGTGTAACCAGTAACTTCTACTGTAGTAAACAGTGTCCGTGACCGCTCTGTGTAACCAGTAAGTCCTCCTGCAGTAGACAGTGTCCGTGGCCGCTCTGTGTAACCAGTAAGTCCTCCTGTAGTAGACAGTGTCTGTGGCCGCTCTGTGTAACCAGTAAGTCCTCCTGTAGTAAACAGTGTCCGTGGCCGCTCTGTGTAACCAGTAAGTCCTAATGTTGTAAACAGTGTCCGTGGCTGCTCTGTGTAACCAGTAAGTCCTCCTGTAGTAAACAGTGACCGTGGCCGCTCTGTGTAACCAGTAAGTCCTCCTGTAGTAAACAGTGACCGTGGCTAATCTATGTAACCAGTAAGTCCTCCTGTAGTAGACAGTGTCCCCGGCTGCTCTGTGTAACCAGTAAGTCCTCCTGTAGTAGACAGTGTCCGTGGCCGCTCTGTGTAACCAGTAACTTCTACTGTAGTAAACAGTGTCCGTGGCCGCTCTGTGTAACCAGTAAGTCCTCCTGCAGTAGACAGTGTCCGTGGCCGCTCTGTGTAACCAGTAAGTCCTCCTGTAGTAGACAGTGTCTGTGGCCGCTCTGTGTAACCAGTAAGTCCTCCTGTAGTAAACAGTGTCCGTGGCCGCTCTGTGTAACCAGTAAGTCCTAATGTTGTAAACAGTGTCCGTGGCTGCTCTGTGTAACCAGTAAGTCCTCCTGTAGTAAACAGTGACCGTGGCCGCTCTGTGTAACCAGTAAGTCCTCCTGTAGTAAACAGTGACCGTGGCCGCTCTGTGAAGCCAGTAAGTCCTCCTGTAGTAAACAGTGTCCGTGGCTGCTCTGTGTAACCAGTAAGTCCTCCTGTAGTAAACAGTGACCGTGGCCGCTCTGTGTGGCCAGTAAGTCCTCCTGTAGTTAAGAGTGTCTGTGGCCGCTCTGTGTAACCAGTAAGTCCTCCTGTAGTTAAGAGTGTCTGTGGCCGCTCTGTGAACCAGTAAGTCCTCCTGCAGTGAACAGTGACCGTGGCCGCTCTGTGTAACCAGTAAGTCCTCCTGTAGTTAAGAGTGACCGTGGCCGCTCTGTGTAGCCAGTAAGTCCTCCTGTAGTTAAGAGTGTCCGTGGCCGCTCTGTGTAACCAGTAAGTCATCCTGTAGTTAAGAGTGTCTGTGGCCGCTCTGTGTAGCCAGTAAGTCCTGATGTAGTAAACAGTGTATGTGGCCGCTCTGTCAACAGTACGTGCCCCTGTAGTAAACAGTGACCGTGGCTGCTCTGTGAAGCCAGTAAGTCCTCCTGTAGTAGACAGTATATGTGGCCGCTCTGTGTAACCAGTAAGTCCTCCTGTAGTAGACAGTATATGTGGCCGCTCTGTGTAACCAGTAAGTCCTCCTGTAGTAAACAGTGTCCGTGGCTGCGGGACTAACGGGATCGGGTGGTCAGGCTCACTAATGCATGTCATCGTATCTCAATTGCGTGGATCGATGCTCATGATATCTATGCCTGGATTGTCTGGTTCGAACTCGATTATTCACAGACCGCCGTCAAGTAGCTGGAATATTGCTGAGTGCGGCGTTAAACAACAACCAAACAAATCCTACTTTAATGAACAGTGTCCGTAGCATCTCTGTGTAACCAGTCAGTCGTTCTCTTGCGAACAGTCTCTGTGTTCGCTCTGGGTAACGAGTAAGACATTGTTCAAAAAAGCGTTCAAATGACAAATGCATTTGACAACTGAGGATACCAGTATAGTAAATTTCAGAGCAATGCAGTAATTAGTATCAGGAATGCCATACATCCTGCAATATAGAGACAAGGAGAGGACGAGAAACACTTGATTTCTGTACTGCTTAACCTGGGGGAGGATGACATGTACATCCGGAGAGACGTGTAGGAGACACGTGTACAAACTGTACATAATGCCATAACGCTGCCGATATGTATGTTGGTTTGGTGTGTTTGTTAACGAGGTACATAAAACCCAGTGTTGAAATGTGGCTGACCGAGCTTAGTTTGTGTGTCACTGTTTCCTGGCGGAGAATGTTGAATAAAGTAGTCACATGGTAGAATAGCGGCATGCTTTTACATTGGAGTCAATTCTGGAACAGCTTCGATATCACCGAATCAAATCCTGTCAACAGGGGCGACAGCAACATGGTGACAGTCCACAGCAAGGCTGAGAACGACTTCGTCTACAACATGGTGAAGGACTTCCATGAGGGAGAGGAGAAGGACGTCCTCATAGGTAACTTGTGACAGCACATTGGGCATTGAGGAGGAACATTGCCAACATTACCTTATATGGACTATACAAGTACTCTCTACATAGTTATGATCAACCTGTTGGAAAAGCACAGTGCCTACACACACCCCATAGGAACATGATGTATATAATTACTCTAGAATGTATTCTCTGGTACGTAATCAGGTGTCAGTTTGGGATGAGTGGCATAAGCCCACAGTCACATATAACATGTTAGTAAATAATATGTTGGTAAGTTAATGTAAGAAAAAAATGTATGTTAGTGGGAAATACAGTCGAACCTCGGTGTGTTGAACTAGGATGTGTCGAATTCCAGATTGTCTCGAACTCATTTAAGAGTCCAAATCATCCAAATTAAGCATGACATTCCCCTGATATCTTGGACCCCGGATAACTTGAACCCCTGATATCTTGGACCCCGGATAACCTGAACCCTTTTCAGGTCGCCACATGTTCGACACAATGAAGTTCAACTGTTTTAAATATAGCAGTGTTATTACGATTGCTTATAATTACTATAATTGAATTAAAAACGTAAACACGTGTAACACCGACTTATATGTGTAAATAAACGCCCAAATCCCTTGCATAATCATAATAAGTGTCCATTTGTACTATTGCGACTATTTGTGGATAGCCACCAATTTAAAAGCTTACAGCCACTTACAGGGCCTGAGTCCTGGGTGGCCTAGTGGCGTGCCTCTATATATAGTGTACAGTAGAAGATCACTGCCTCGCCACGCTTGTCATCATGGTCTGTCAACTCTCTATCCGAGAATACATATCAACAAATGGAATATCACCCGCATTTACTTTTCACAGGCTTGGAGCTCTAACTATTTGTTGTTTGTCTCCAGGTTACCGGTACCGCAGTGTGTTCGACAAGTTCACCTGGCTGGACGGATCGGACCCCGTCTACGAGAACTGGAGCGACGGACATGGCATGTCTGGACTGACCGGTGGCTACTGTACGAAGATATGTTACTATGACAACAAAGTCACATGGAAGAACACCCCGTGTCTTAAACAGAATCACGCTGCCGTATGCAAGATGCCTCTGTAGACAAATCCCAGCTGTTCAGGTGTACAATAAAATCCAAACACAGCATCATTTATCGAAGTGATATATGCAAGTGTGATTTTGTAAGTGCAATGTCTGTAGATGTATACTTCAAATACAGTAACATAACTCGTGTGTGTAGACTTTTATCAATGTATCCATGGATTCCAGAACACGAATTGTTGCAAAAATATTGTAATCAGCTGTAGTAATTTCAGTATAGAGATAAACATATCATTAATCTCTCAGCGGGGCCTTACATGTATCTATTTGGTTTTTTGTTTAACGCCACTCTCAGCAATATTCCAGCTGTATGACGGCGGCCTGTAAATGATCGAGTCTAGACCAGACAATCAAGTGATTGACATCATGAGCATCGATCCACGCAAAGGGATACGATGACATGCATCAACCAAGTCAGCAAGCCTGTTACATGTATCCAGATACAGTGGATTCAATTCAACTGACGCTCATTTCAATCACTTTTGTTTGCTGGCTTTGTATGCAACAGATCATTTGACTAGCTCTAGAAACAATGGTTGGCAAATAAAACCTTTTGAAAACAAAATGATTTTCACGAGTTCGATTTGTTTCTAACATGCTAAGTTCTCGACATTTAGAATATTGACAGGGGGTGAACTATGCGATGAACTATGTGTGCAATACAGTAACGCATTCAATGACAAAGTGAGGTTACTAAAATACTGTTCTAGGGGCGTTAAACATATATTCCGAGGAAACACCTGTCGTTGTAGTCGTTGATTTTGGGTGTAGCACATTACAATTCCAACACACATACATACTAAATACAACATGTGTTCAGCGGGAGGTATCAACAATCGAACATTTAGACCGGCTAGCTCCGATAAAGTGTAGGAGAAGCACAATGTAAAGTTCTTTTGATACATTCAAATGTTTACTATTCTACATACTTAACAATATGTAGTACGAAAGTATTATTGAGCCCTGAGGTCGAAAGTGCCGCACCGAACTGTGACGAGTAAACATATTTTGAGTTCTTGGGCTTCGCCAAAGTGGTAAACGTCTATCACCTTCGCCATGTCAGACTTTCTTCCAACACTTCACTGACACCCCTAATATAACTGAAATATTGTTCAAAGAGGGGTTACATCTAACTCACTCACATTCGCAAGGTTTCATTCACCCTTTAGACTTTACTGTAGTGTTTGTGTTGGGTGCTCTGAGAATGAACAATATACGAGGGTGTCTGAAACTATCTGGACCTGACTATAAACAATATGCGCATGTAGTGATATTGACTGTAGCATATACACCCTTCACTTCTTTCTGTACTGGATCATTCAAGTTGTTATATAAAGCGCTTTTGGGTTTGGAAAGGGCGCCATAAAATATATAATATATTATTATATTACCATAATTTGAGGGACAAAAGAAAGTATACCCAGTTTGTTTTTCTATGTAATTGAAAATCGAGAAAATTGTTGTTTGATTATGCCAACATAACTATTCCTGCAACAGTTTGTAAAAGTGTCTGGTAATTTTGTATAAAATTAAATTGGTTCAATGAAGACTGCGACAAGAAATGTATTTGCAACCACATGACCCCTACCATGTTTGAAATATTGTAAATCTGTGCCAAAAATAGCAAATTCATTTATTTAAAAAGATGAGATATCTAAGATACCTATCAGCGCCAGCATAATTTATTTTTTAAATACAATAGAGCCAACTTAAGATATTTTCAACTAAATATCAAACACGTGATAAAATCAACTGTATAGTTTCTTTTGCCACTCAGGATATTGTACAAGGAATAAGGAGGTTACGGGTTAATGAACGCGTTCCACGGTCGTACAATGTAAAAAAGTACAAGTGCTTATATAATTCAATACAAGTAAATGTATTCTGATGTTGAATAATGCATCTTTTACTACATATTCATGAAGACATCTCGACTTTAAGGTCATGGTTCACAATTAGCATGTGCTTGTTAATGCACGGCGCACAATGTTACTCGTTCATGTCACTTATGCTTAATGTGAACAGCACATTATTATTGTTAGGCTATCAGGTGCTCATGAAAACACATTTGTGTAGCCGTAAAAAATGCTTACGTAATGCCACGGCTTGCTCAAAATCAACGTCTACGTGTCGTGAGAATTTGCCAGACATTTAACTGTCCATCGAAACACAATATTATCTACTGAACAACAAAAGTTCCTGTGACATTGAATAAGATTTATTGCAAAGTTATGTTTTTTACCAAATCTGAAACTATTTCGGTTTGCAACAGATAAAAGACTCCTGTAGGTGTTCAAATGGTTTAATTTGCCATACTGACTTCAGAAAATGCGTGATTTCATTAAAAAAAACATGGACATGCCAAAATATCAATTTACAAATCAATAACGTGTGTGTCCACCTCTGGTTGCGATGCAAGCAACACATCTTCGTCTCATGGAATGGACCAGGCGTCGCACAAAGTCCTGTGGGATATCTGTCCATATCTGCTGGAGCATGTTTCGAAGTTCCTGGAGTGTCTGTGGATCACGTGGTTGACGTCGAAGGCATTCACCGAAGTGATAAACGTCTGAGACCTGCATCACTTCGGGCTTTCCTCCCACGTTAAGCTGACACGCTGCGATATAACTGGAATACAGTTAAAAGTGGCGTTAAACCCAACTCACTAACTCAATTTGGGATGTTAAAAGTGCACCTGATATTGAGATTGTAGATATTGTGATTTGTTTTTTGTCGGGGAAGAATATCATTTCGTATTAATATGTCCAAAGTTTAATCATTATTAAGATAAATATATTACTGAATATTACTGGCAAAACACAAGTGAAGATAACACTCCCCCCGCCATGTATCTGTAAATTGTAAGACGAGGGGCTTGCAGCCCAAGTTTTCTTTTTTAATAAGCTTCTTTTGTTCTGTTCATGTTATGGAAACGTTAATCTTTTGATGCGCACTTGTTCTTTCTAGCATTTAATTCAATTGATCAGAATACAAAATATACTCAATAAAAGGTCAATTAATTTTATTAACATACACTGAGTCCCATGTTTTGTATCATTGAAAAACACACAGATCAAACACAACTTACAAACATAATCATAATCTGGTTCATCTGTATCACCTGGCGAGTTGGAGTGTTTTACTCTGGCCACCGTTGGGAGATGCTTATTGATTAAGTAGGTAAGACCAGGCAGTGATACTGGGCACACTTTACTCACCTGTCGGATGATTGGCACGTAATTTGGGCGTCTGACAATTGGGAGTGAACCTTCTAAGATAGCGGACCCCTGTAATTACGCCTTTTAAGAGAGCGTTCTTGTCGTCATGCTAGAATGGAGATACCCTACTGTGCTGAAGCGCTCGGTTGCAAATTAAAATAAAAGGTATCTAATCTACAGGGGGACTACATCAAATTTCAAAACACGGTAGGTTTATCTCTTTATGTATATTGATCATGAAAATCGTTATCATACTTTGTATTATGAATGTTATCAAAATATGAATACGGGAAACATTCAACAGTTAATTGCAGACCGCGTTTGAATGTTAAGTAATATAACGGTGTCGTCCCGATCGATTCAATAGAAAGCTCAGAAACACAAAGTAACGGTCGACGGATCAGTACCTGGAGATAATCTCAAAACAAAGCTGTTACCATAGTGATGGGGTACAGAAAGCGTTGCTGTGTGATGGGTACCCCCACTGATGCCACTATAAGGGATAAGGTTTATCCCATACTGAAAGGCCTCAGGCCCATAGTACAATTCTGTTTTCGGGAGTGGTTACAGATCCGTTTAACAGGTCATATTCTAATTAACATAGCATCATAGAGGAACATTGATAGAATTTTTAGAGTACCTTTATCAGTAGTTGACATGATCGATATAATTTTATGAAGAGTGGGATGTACATAAAAAGGCAGATCAATATATTTTCTTCTTTGGTGGTCGTATTTTGGACAAACAAACAGAAAATGAAACTCATCTTCAATCACATTTAAACCACATTGCTCACATATTCTCAATTCTCTGGCTATGTTACTATGTCTGCCTACTTCGATCCCAAGTCTAAGAGAGCTGCATCTAAATTGTGCTAAACTTATTCTAAACCTTTTAAAATTGATATCAAATAAATAGTATTCTGGGAAAATAGTTGTCTTAAAAAGCTTGTAATAATTGCATTTTTCTGAATTTAAAACATGCGATGACCATTTTTGTAAGTAGAAAATCTTATGTCTTTGGCGTATAGATACTTAAAACGAATCTGGATTGTTAGGTACCCATTGATTATGCCAAACATACCCATAGCAGCATTCATTTAATAACGACTTTACATCATATACCCAATTGCGGATTCAATGTTTTTCATACAATAACATTATATTGTCACATTTTCCAGGTACTCTATCAATAGGCATTTTAAGAATCTTGAACCAATACTTGAGAATTCTAATATATTGAAATATGTAAAGTGGTACACGTCCACATTCACCATGTACCATAACCTTCGATGTTCAGTTTTTTTACGCCAAGGAATCGTTTACAAGCATATAGATAGATCAGTTCAATAGTTCTGTGTTCAGTATTACTCAAGACCCCTGCTCCACATAAAGGAATTGGAGTAATTTTTGTATCAAGTATTTAAAAAAAAGGTTTTATATGAAAGATTAGTGAAAGTTTTTAAACTATGTAAGATTCCCATTAGTATCTTTTTTTGCCTGATTGCTGTATTACTGGTGTGGTAATTCCACGATAATCTGCCTGTAAAGGTTACCCCCAGATATTTATAAGAAGTGACAATTTGTAACGGTTGTGGGTTGAAGAACCATTTTTCCCAACTTGATAGCTTATTTCCCTGTTTAAAAACTTACACTTTCTTTTTCTCAGTGTTCACTTGGAGTTTACAATTAGAGCAGTACAACTCTGGTTGATCAAAGAAATTCTCTAGTACGTTTATCGTACTAGAGAACAGAACTATATCATCAGCAAAAAGAAACAGAAATATCTTAACAATATCTGGATGCAGCTGTACACCATCCGTACAATTATCCTTAATTTGTGCAGCCAGTTCATTGATGAAAAAACAGAACAGGAAGGGGCTGAGATTACAGCCTTGGCGTACACCACTGTTACATATGAAGACATCAGAGTATTTTCCCTGGTTTTTAATACATGACTTTACACTTTGATAAATATTGCATGATAATTTACCCTTTTTATTATTAACACTATTTGGAAAAAAACAATGACCACATCATATTTCTGTTTACAGAATGAAACGCCTTTTTGAAGTCTACACAAATTGCATAACAATTTCCACCTTTTCTCTGCATGTATTTGTGAATAATCGCATTAAGTATGCAAATATTATCCGTGGTTGGGCACCCTTGCCTAAAACCTGCTTGTTCTTCCGAAATTTTACCTAATGAATCTGACCAAAAATGTGAGCCTTTTATAGATAACAGAAACACATATATTTTTTTAAAAAACATTCAGAAGGGTAATTCCTCGATAAAGGTTTGTATCAGAACGCGATCCTGATTTATGTAGTGGAAT